ATACAAGTGAGATGAAGGAGCTTAGTTGTCGTTCCTTAAGATGATGTCAGCCATTGGTAAATGGAGTAGTCCTGAATTTAAGTGTTTTTCCAGGATCAAAGAACGGCGTTGCAATTTGTGCAGGACCATATCGCATCGTTCGGTGGTAATCCAAGGCAAGTAACGCTTGTTGGTCATGATGCTGGAGCAGTGAGTGTCGGCCTGCACATGTTATCGCCGTTTTCGAAAAGTAACTAGTTTCCCCATCATTCAACAATCGTCTTTTTGCTGTGCAGCAGCTGCACAAAATGCATATTGTCACGAGATTACCTATGTGTGTATGTGCGTGTGTGTGTGTGTTTATATGTGTGTGTGTTTATATATGTGTGTGTGTATTTGTGTGTACGCCCGCAGCAACTTGCCCGTAACTTTCAACTCGGGAACCACAAAAGCAAGAAAGCTAAAAATTTAGAGGAATTTCCCCCACTCATATGTGGTCCCGCGCACGTGCCCGCGAGTCACACGTACGGCCTCGTGAAAGTTTTGGCAAGGAAAATTAATGTTCGCTGCCTACGTGCGATCCAAAAAATTTAAATTCAGCGTTCCCGTGTCTGAGGGTAGCACTCATGGCCTTACAAATTTTTTTTTTTTTTTTGCTCTTTTATGTGTATTATAATCAAAATCCCTATTGTCCAGAACTTTTTAAGATTTTATTACTGTGGTTTCAGATTTGTTTCATGCAGCTGCAGCAATGTCCGGTGCCGAGGTTTCATATCATTCAACAATAGGAAAGCCAGCTCTTGCATTCAATAATACCATAAAACTGGGCCGATATCTTGGTTGCACCCAAGCCGTAGCCGAGCATGTATGGGATTGCATCATGACGAGATCCACAAACGACATCATTCAAGCTCTTCATACGATACCAGTATCTTTTTTATCGTATCGGAAAATTCGAGGTCTAAGGATGCAGTATGAATTTGCACAGGGCATACGGTTCACTTAGGGTTCTGGACGGCCACCGCCTTACCTCTGCTTATTCCTATTGCACGTAGGGTTGGTGCGACGCTTACCGGTCGATACCCTTCACTGAATGGACCGCTGTTCCTGGCCCTGGTTACTATCCTCCTCCATTCCCTCACAGGGCCTTTAAGGCCTGTACTGCCTTTTACCTTACTACCTTACTTAGGCCATAATTCTTGGACATTTTCAGCGATATTTAATAACTTCTATGCGGTACACGCAGTTTCTTTTGTTGGTGTGATGTCCAGGTCTCTCTATCCATCCCTTTTCGGCAGTAAGGAAGATTGTTTCGAATTAACCTTAAATCTACTGAAGTTACCTTAAGTTTTATTAAAATTCAGATTGTTTCTGTGAAGT